TAAAGGTCCGTATTTCATTTCGTTGATGTTTAAGTACAACAGGCCATCATCTCCGTGATAGCCGACGGATTCGTGATCCCAGCCTTGAATTCAAAAGAGGAAATCAACAAGCTGATGTATAATAGAGAGGACAACAGGGCAAACAAATGACGTTATATGCCTGGCATTCGGTCTAACAAGACGTGACTTCGTGATAGCCCTATTCCTATGCATCTAAAAGCAATATGTGGTAGTGAGCACCGGTTGGCCCTGGCAACTACTGGAATCTCTTTCCCGCAAAGAAAAAAAAGTTGACCGCCCACCCATGATCCTCTTCATCTATAATCTCGATTTCAAAATAATATATTCCAACTTTGCTCGAAATCGGATGATTTGACTTTGCGCTTGCACAATTTCTTCCTGGCCCTTTTAAAATTAATAATAGATGCAATATTCAGGTTCGATTTCCACATTCAATTCATTGTATCTTTCCTGAACAAATACCAATGTAGGCGAGTCTCACGCCATCCTCCAAGATCTGGATATCCGGAACGTGATCTTCTGGATTCCAGCGTGAAGGTAATAATATTGGATTTATTAAAGATTTATTGTATGAATCGAACGGACTGTCGTGTAAGTATGGAGGAAGAGAGGCATTTTCTAATTTCATTTTTGTATTTAGTAGATTATGTAGATTATCATCCACGTATGTTTATTGTGTGCACGTAACTCTGATGAATTTATAATTCCCTATTATAATACCGACAAAATTGTGCACACGAATATCTGCTCTTACCCATAGGGAAAAAACAAGTATTCAAATTTATAACGATCACAATTTCTTAGTAACAGCACCTGTTTATGGGACCGATGGTACCGTCAACTATAAACGTGATGTGCAACGATTCGACCTACTTTATGTGGTGAAAACCTGTATAATATTTGTAGGAAAAACTGTCAACAATTCTCAAGGAATAAATAAGATTTCCATAGTGGGAATGGGAAATATTTATGTTCCTGGAAGAAAGTTGACACCATGGAATTAAAAGGAAAGCAATAATATGATGCTACTTTATACAAAGATGACGTTACTCTGTTTAGTAATAATTTTATCATTGTATCATATAATGTTTTGTGTGCGACGAAATGTTTTGGATTTTGCATTTCACGTAACGACAGACTCACGTGAATGCGAGCACGCCATACTTAAAACCTGATCTTTTTGTTATAGAGATAATTACGTCGAAATAGGCCCCTATGTCGTCATTATAAAAAAAAAAATAACTATATATACGAGTTTCGGATCCTAAAACGCTGGTTAGCAAAATGGAGAGCGAATCGACTCCGGTGAATTATTCCACCGTATTTTATGCTTCGATAAGCGTAAGGCTCGATCAATCAATTAATTAATTGGTAACCATTAATCTGCTGGTTAATAAAATGACTAATTTGTTGTTTAATACAGTCTATTTCGCATGTATTGCTCATGTGTTTTGTCGGTTATGTGGCAGCGAAATATGGAATGATTACTCAAGAAATTGAAAAGGTGTACTATCATTATCATTCTTTCTTCAGATGCACGTACTTCTTTCACCAACCTTTGTACCACCATTGTGTAGGGCATGGCCGGGCTAATCATTAGGATCTTCATGCCATGCCTTTTATTTGCAAATATTGCTGACCTCGACATGGACACGTTGACCAAACTATGGATTATACCCGTGGCTTATTTCTTCTTTGCCTCCTGCAGTGGTCTCCTCGGACTCATTGGCGGGAAACTATTGAGATTTCAACCCTCGAACATTAAATTTCTTTGCGTATCAATAATATTCAACAATGTCACTAGTCTTTCACTTGGAATATTAGAGGGACTGTCTAAAACGAAGGCGATAGAGTTATTATCTTTCGGAGATGGTGATACTCCTTCGGAGATCAAAAAGCGAGGAACCTCCTATATATTACTAATCACCTTGTGGACCAATTTGCTACGGTTAGTGCCATACTAGTCTTGAATTCCTAACAAGCGTGGACCTAACACACAGCGTAATGGGTAACAACAGGTGGAGTCTGGGTGCTTATTTGTTAAAGAAAGAATCGACCGATGAGACGGACCAAATACAAAAGAGCGACAATGAGGGTGAAACTTCGCCTCACGAAAGTCACCCTGGTGAGAATTCGACAAAGTACGACGACGATCGATCTATTTCCGTGCATATGCCGCCGGACGAGTCAACCCCTTTAATAACACCAATGCGGCCTCACCCTATACGGGCGATCACAGAATTCTTTGGAAAAGTAATGAACCCTCCTTTATGCGCTGCACTATTGGCCGTGATTGTCGGCGTGGTCCCTTTCCTGAGATCGTTGTTTTTCGGTTCCGGAGCTCCTCTCACCGCCGTCACCTTAACCATCGAAAGTTTTGGGTCAATATCGGTTCCGCTAACTCTTCTCACTCTCGGGGCTCAACTGAAGAACATACCTCGAACAAAGAGTGCACATTATTGGTCCATCGGGTACACAATGTTAAGTCGATTTATTGCCATGCCGATTATAGGAATTGTCATAGTGCTGGCCACAAGACATTTATACCTCGAAGATCCGATGCTGTTATTTGTATTAGTTATGTTGGCGAGTGGTCCGACAGCGGTTAATTGTATGAATCTGGCTCAATTCACCGGAACGTTTCAAGAGGAGATGGCCACCTTATTGTTTTACTCCTACATAGCTGCGGCGCCCACGATCACCTTGCTGGTAGTGGGATTGTTGAGCATTATTGGAAAGGTTGCGGCCACGTGATTTACTTAAAATAAATATTAAGTTGGTGCTTATTGTTGTTATTCAAAATAAAAAATTAAACATCATCGAGACCTTCCAACCAACCTCTTTCAAGATGCAAAACCTTTATAGTAAGGAAGAGGATGCAAATATCATTTCTTTATTATAATTATTATTTATGAATATATAAGTAAAGTATATATCTAGATATATATACATATACGGTATACGTATTTGCCATTTCATTTTCCTTAGCGTTAAATAAAACATCATTTGACGGTCTCTCCTTATTGTTAAATAGATACAGTAGATAGATAAATAAATACGAGTCACTTATTTCGCTTTCGTGATACATAAACATTATACATTTGCCACTACGAGGATACATAACGAAGATCATGCTCGTGCGATTTGTCGAAATTCTCTGGGCTCTGTTTGGTCTAGCCTAAACGGTCTATGATATCGTCCTAAATTATGCGCGCACCGAATTAGTCTGACTTGGTCATTATTTGTTTACTCTTTTTATTTGTGATGCGGGTTGAACCATTGGTCGGACAAATGTAAAACAGTTATTTAATTGGACGTCTGTCCTTCACGTTGCGTTATTGTTGGTTGGACAGAATTTTTGCATGAAAAAAATCATTTTTTTAGGGTTTATAGTCCAGATTTTTCTCGTGAACTTCATCGAGCGACAAGGAAAACAAGAACGACAAATCAAAGAAGAGGTACCGTGACCAGTTCTCATCTTATCCCCATCACCGTTATTATTATATTACATCAATAATAATAACATCATTATTATTATCACCATTAGAAATGATTAGAAATGGGAATGTGAACAAAAGGTAAGTCTACAATGACCGACATGTCAGAGAGAGGACCAATGTCCAATATAAAGTGGAAACCGAAATTTGATGATGACCTGATATGTTTAGCAAGATTACAGTATGATAGCGGTGTAAAGGCTTAAAGGTGTTCCGGGAATCTGGGTTATCAGCTATCATCTCCCCAGCATATTTATTTACTCTTTCAACTTGCATAAATAAATTGGACAGGAGTGATCATGAAAAACCCGATTACTTCTGTCCAAATCCTCCAAATTCCAAGTCCGTACATAGTATTGTGATGCAAATAAACTTCAGAAAAATGTATACACATCCGTTGTTCATTCCAGAAATCTTGGAACAAGTTTTCGTCTTTCTATCAATTTCTGACAATCAAATATACGATAATAATATAAATAACTTGCATTCCTGCGCCTTGGTGTGCAGGGAATGGTGTGTAAATGTTATTCCGTTACTCTGGAAGAAACCATTTGAGACTGGTCTCGAGAGGCGCATTAAAGTTGTCTCTTCACTGGTCGCGATCTTGGAGAATGATTATTCGAGGGCGAGCCCGCGAAAGAAACATCCAAGTGGTTGTGCCATACATGAATATTTGGCGTCATACAACGAATTCAAAACGACCCCATTTTCTCGTACGACGGCCGCAGCAACTCATCGTGTTGTGAACAGTATTTCGATGCCTTCACACAATAAACCATCAAGCTCTCTCTTTAACTATCCATCTTTCATAAAGCATCTAAATTATGATCGCCTATTCGATTCCATAGATCATTGGTGCAAGTTGGAGGGGTACATACCGAACACCATGGAAATATATGTGATGCGAGCATTACTGAGATTGATGACCGACAATGGAGCGACATTGACGACCTTCAAGGTGCATCCGAAACATTCGAATGACCCCAGGTATTGTCTGATGTATGAACCGGAAATCTGTGGGCTGTTCAAGGAAGTGAGATTCCTGGATCATGATGGATGTTGTTACAAACGTGACACCATATTACCCGAACTCGTTAAGATTTGTAAGAATGTGGTATGTGTGCGTTGTGGTTGTGTCATCATCGTTATCCTTTTAATTGGGGTTTTCCCGAGGAAGAAGTAGTAAACCGGTTAAATTATATCCGCACGTTAGAAGCACCTCCGTCTTTGCGGCTGGAGATCTCCGAATCTTCGCACTCAATCTCGACTCTCCGGCGCAGACCTCACTCACTTCATATCCAAACAATCCACGTTAATCTCTCTAAATCTAACAGAATGTCAAGGCTTCACTCCGTACGTCCTCTCCGGTCTCTCATCTCAAACCGAATTCCTAAAATGCTTACATTTTGATCGTGTTAACTTTGAGGGGTGCGATCCTTGGAATTTTATTGCCGAGTGCAAAAACCTGGAGGTGTTAAAAATGGCATCTTGTTATAATATTGACGCGGAAATGGTGGAGCCCATATTGAAGGCAAAGTTCAGGAAGTTGAGGAAGGTCGAGATATTCAAAGTGGAGTGCAAAGAGTTGATAGAGTGGTCGAACAGGTTTAATAGATTGGGAAATGTGTTACGCGTGAAAAATTATTGGTCGTAAACTTTCGTAGAAGTTGAAAACAATTTCTTATTTATTACATTAAAAAAAAATGGAAATTTATTTGAATCGCATCGTTTCAATTAACTTAAGGGATACAGAGTAATAAACCATAGTATTCGTTTATTAAATCGGTTATTACAAATCAACAGCTAAGGTGTGAATTAAATCGAGTTGTCATGAATGCGACGATTTTATTTCAATAAAGCTGTGCACATTGCATGCAAGTTGACACGCTCTAGTGCTAGTAAATTCATGCATATTTCGATAGTTCACTTTTGAAATTTTTGATGCGCGGTTTATTAAAATGTTTTGCTCGTAGAAAGATTTTTTCTTAAATGTACTTAATTAAAGAGAGGAAGGAAATTTGTATGGTTGGAGTTCGACTGTGCTTACCAAATTCTGGTTGCAATAAAAATTACATTGCGAAAGATGGGTTTCTGACTTTATGATCCTTATATCGATGCTTGAGTGTCTTACAAAATAATGGATGGCAATTTTTCACGTCGTGTCTTTACACCGGGCGCGTAAATTTAAACCGTGAAATCGGGAAAATCATCGACCCAGCGGATGGAAACATTCCTATACGCAACGTTTCTCAACCCTTGGAAAGTCTACATGGCAAATAAAAAAAATTTAATGGGTAACATGTGATTGCAATTAAAAGTAAAGAAAAAGGAAAAAGCGGCTCTCGGCGATTACCTTTTCGAACGAACAATTCTTAAAGGGTCGATCAAACGGATACCTAATGGAAGAAGGTATTGATGTTTGTATTATCCGATTAAAGATGCTTTAAAATCATCCTCAATTCGCATACCCAAGTGATCTTTTATCGGGATATTTGTCCTTTGGTTTTTCCGCCCCGCACAGTGACAAACTGCCGCATCTGGTGGCCTGTGGGACTTCGTCTTTCGTCCAATCGCTGATGAACACCAATAATTTCCCCTTCAGCCCATTGCGCGTTCCTCGTGGCAACAAGATATGGAACGGCCATCCACAATCACAGTATTTGTCTCCATCGATGCTTTTGGATGATATAATATCGTCCAATTCGCTCTCCGTCTTTTGTGGTGGTTGCCTCACGACCGATGATCGATCGCAATCGCGTGTTATCACAACCTTCTTCTGCGCGGGAAGCTCTTGTTTGAACTTATCCAATTCTATCCAGTGTTGGTTTTTGTCGACAAATTCATCGGGTGCGAAGAATACACGGAATGTAACGGCGATGTCCTTTAAAATTTTAAAGCTCAATCGTGAGTAGATAAATAGGAAGAGGTTTTACTATCGAATTACTAATTACCCGGTCACAAGTGTTCTCCACGCGGAAGAAATAGTACCATTCTCTCGGATACAGATATTCAATTACCGAAGATTTTTTATCATCCTCGATCCACGTCCATTTTCTCTTCTTCATCTTCGTTTCCAAAGTATTGGTCGCAAACTGGGGATTCGGATCTTTATCGAATTTTTCCCGACCAAATTCACACTCACCCCATTTAGCAACTGCATCATCTTGCTGTGGATCTTTTAATCCTTTGATATTTGGGATCTTGTCTTTGAACGTTAATATAATACCGTTCGCGCATATCTTCACCGGTGGGCAATCGTTGAAATTATGGGGCCCAAGTTTCTCCTGATAACGATTATACAAATCATCCACTGGTCCAACAATGTCATTGTGTCAGTGTATGTTTACAGTGGATGGTCCGGTATAAATTAAAAAATTCGAACAGTACCGTGCTTATGCCACCTCCAAAATATTGGATCACGGGCTGCGACACGAACGTCGGCCATCACTCCTGGTTTATCTGTGACAAAACCTAGCAAAATATGACCATTATCGTGGAAAGGACCATACTTCTCGAATCCTTTTTCTCTGGCAAGGCCGGACTCAATGGCAAGACCAATTAAATGTGGAGTGAGCTTAGTCTTGTTGGGATCATCGAAATAGCCTTGTTCAATGGTTTTGACCAAAAGGTCGCGGCCAGCCTTCAACTCCGAAACCTTGACAGTACCTTCTTCCTGACCTTCTGCATTATGGAAAGCTATTTAAAAGACGAGTAAGACGTGCCGTCAAACAAGCATACAAAGAATTTGACAACATTTTATTAATCGAATACGATGATACTCACTAACATCCTTCAATTTCTCTTTAGCTGGGCGAGCCGAGTAACTTGATGCATCCTCGCTATCGACCAAGTGACTACTGGGGTTGTAGGACTCCGGGATGATTTCATTGTAGTTGTCCAAGGGTTTGACTGGTTTCAAACCAACTCCAATACGCTCGGCGTCATACCTGTATGAAAGTAAGAATTATAAATCAATTGTATCACAACAATACAGTACGATAGAAGTAACCGTCATTACCTTGCGACCATTTGTCTGTGCATATAGGCGAAAATTTCACCTTGTCGATCTTTGGTGAATCTCTTGGTCTTGTCCTCGGGGTGTTCCGGATCATCACTCAAAACTGGGTAGATGATATGCCAATGTTCGTGATGCTCGTTGAAATTTGGATCCTCGCGCCAGTAATAAAGAAGATCTTCTCCGGAAAGGTCAACTTTGCAGCTTGTTGGTTGCTCCGGTGCGGCGAGGGAAAGATTCTTTGGTATGCTAAGGCCTGGACCACGATGAGTCAATGGTGGGATGCGAAGGTTTCTTTTTCTCGCATCAGGATGATGCGAAACGAATGTCATTAAAGCGTGTTGAACCATCTGAGGATCTTTACTCTTAACATCTTCAGCTGCTTTCTTTAAAACTGCTTTAATGGGGTCATTCTGGGTTTTGTCATTAGCTAATTTGTAATAGGTCCTGGTGAGCTCGGCCGCCTCTTCCGCGTCTCTTGCATTAAACTATTTTAATCGAAATTAATTCGTCCAAAAGCTATGTATGGCATTAAAAGAAAAAAAAAAGAGAGAGATCTTACTAAAGTCCATCGTCGTCTTCTTGTGGTAGCATTGGTTTTACTACTAATACGAAGGACTTCGACAAGATTTTTTTGACAGGAATCAGATTCAATCTGTTTGGACAATTGAGACATGACTATTAGTTAGATCAAAGGAATTCTGTCTCGAGGCATTGGCAAATATATTGTCCTTATATAAGAGAACCCACGACTTTTCTTAAACTTGATACGGAACTAAATAAAATCTAACATGACGATAGCAAGATATCGTTGTGGTGAAAACTTCCACCATAGCATCTCAATTTAGTCTAATAATGAACCGGGGTTATATACACGAGACGTACATTTAAAAAAGCTGAACTTCCCACGAACGATACTGCTATACCCAAGAAGACTCTCAATTGGTGTCATTATCTACGCCTTTAAAGAAAACAATAGATGTGCAAGAATTAAAGTGACAATTTCTCTTCACGTCAATTATAAAATCCTGTTCGAGTGATATCGTGCGCGGCAGTTCGGGCGGTAAAAGAGAATCACTACGCACTTGTGCATGCAGGTTTTGCTGATAGCGACGATAGGAATATCGGAATATCGCCGTAATGGTTTTACAATGAACACATTTTATGCTTAACGTCATTACACTTAAGGTTCTGTGAAAGTTAGGCTGTCATAGTTTGATTTGATGGTGTTAATTTTACTTGAATAATTACTGAATGGCTTTGACATCTGAATATTGTACCTTGACAGGGTCATCATTTGGTTTCCTGCGTATAATTTAACCCTCGTGAAAAAAACAATGAATGCAAAATAGAGCGTGAAAATTATCGATATTCTAGATCAAGAATTTCTTAAGAAGCAAGCAAGGCAAGTTATTTGCAATTACAGTATATGATTCTGAAACAAAATATGCAACGTCTGTTTCAATTAGTACTTGCTTTGGAGTTAATGCTTATTCGAAATTTACAAGATACCGCCTCGCTTCGTGACGCGAAATAACCGATAAAATAGCAAAATTACTCGTACCAGGAGGGCGGCAGACTTGGGATTTATTTGCTTGCAAAAATAAATAAATTGGTTATTTCTGGAAGCAACCCTTAGAATCCAAAATTTTAAATCTAAAATTAGAATTTTTAAGTTATACTATAAATTTTACCTGAAATAAAAAAAGCCAATCGAAACGAAATTCTATGGATAAATCTAGTTTAAAGATAATATAGTATATAAATTTTTATAAATCATTTTATAAAAAAATTTTTTGAATCTATATATTTTTTTATTATAATTTAATAAATAATCATTCAGTATATACAGTATTTTTAATAAATAAAATAATAAAAATTTTAAAATTTTATCAATTTTTAATCATTGATTTATTATTTATAATTAGTTTAAAATAAATAAACAATGATTTTCTTTTTACTTTTTAATTTTTAAAATTAATTTTACTTAATAAAAATCAATTTAATTTTAATAAATATTAGTTATTTATTATATAGAAAAATCATTTATTAAAAACTATTTTCAAAAAAAAAATTTTTTTTGAATATCCATAATCAAACTAAATTGTTGGTTTATTAATCAATTGAAAAACATAAGTGCATTTTCATTTGAGCAGCATAATATACAGTGTATAACAAAACTTTTTGGAATTTTTTATTTATTCATAACTTAAAAATTCTAATTTTAGATTTAAAATTTTGGATTCTAAGGGTTGCTTCCAGAAATAACCAATTTAT